TCTAACCTCATGTTCTCCTAATCTCCTCCTCTCCCCCATGATCCAGTTATACTGGACTCCATTTGTTCTCAGACATGAAAACCATGTATCTGCCTCAAGGCTCCTCTGCCTAGAACACTCTTTCCTCACATTTCCTTAGCACTTTCATTTAGTTCTGCTAAATGTCACTTTATCGGTAAGTCCTTCCCTGACCATCCTATATAAAATAGCATCTCCTAGTCCCTACCTTAGGAGCTCTGGTGGCCTAGTGCCTAAGGCATTTGACTGGTAACCTAAAGGCTGGCAGTTCAAACTCACTGCCACTCCTCAGAAGGCAGGTTGGGCAATCTACTTCATAGTGATACCGCCTCAGAAACCCAAGGAGGGGTCACTATGAGTCAGATCCAACTCAACGGCAGTGAGTTTGGTATGGTTTGTAAGTCCCTACCCTAATTCTCTCTAAGCCCCTTACTGTCCTCCTTCATGTCCCTCCACTGCACTCAACACCATCCAACACAATATGTATTTTATTATCCCAACTTGCTTTCCTAAGACTATAAATCACATAAGGACAGGAACATTTGTTTTATTTAATGCAATTCCCTCAGAGCACAGAACAGGGCAAAATACGTAAGTAACAAGTACTCAATATGTATTTGAAGATATTGGAGCAGATATTTACATGCACTAAACAATAAAAGATTACTATATGTTTCATTTATTTGTTTAATTTATATTTATTTATCTATTTATTTAATTAATTTACATTTATTTATCTATCTCTTGATTGATTGATTGAACAATTAGAGATAGAGGCTGGTGAGACCCTGAGACTATGGCCCCTAGTTACCCTTCAGGTCTGGAATGAATTAATTCCTGTGGCTTCCAGCAAAATAACAGACAGACATATATTGTGAACATTTACATCAGGTAGATACACACCTCAGAATAATCAATCATGGTAGAACAGAAAGGCAGTATCTGCACAGGAAAAGAGCTTAGGGGGTAGGAATGCATAAGATAGAAGGATACAGAGAAAAGATAACCAAAGGGAGGAAGTGGGAGCAAAGTGTTACATTACGGGGAACTGCAGTCAATGTCATGAAACAAAATGTGTTATGAACTGCTGTATGGAAAATGAATTTGTTCTATACATTTTCACCCAAATGACAATAAAAATTAAAAGAGAACATTTAGATAACAAGAAAAAGGTCCTGGGGTGGGGAGGTAGCAGAAGAAAGATAATAGAGTTTGGAGGACAAAAGTAGATGTAGAAATCTTGCACAAAGCAGAGTAAAATGCCAAACTGGAAAACAGGAGAGAAAAAACAAAACCCCAGGCAACTGTCCAAAATGTCCAGTATCTGAATAATATGAGTACCAAGAGAAAATAAAACAATTCAAGGAAAATTCTTACAACTAAAGGTCATGAGTTTCCAGACTGAAAAGGCCATCGAGCAGCCAAGACAATAGGTGAAAATACCAGCGCTTGTCATCGTGACATTCCAGACCACTGTGGAAACTGGAGATCCAAGAAGCACCCAGAGAATGGAAAAGTAAATAGGTTTCACAAAAAGAATCAAGGGTTCGAACAGCATTGGACTTCTTAACAACAGCTGGTCAGAAGACAATAGAGCAAAGCTTTCAAAACACAGAGAAAGTAATTTCAAACTTGTAATCCTACACCCAGGATCAATGAAGTGAAAAGTAAAATAAAGCCATTCTCAGGTGTTCAAGGTTTCAGAAATATTTATCTGCCCTACTTTCTTTCACAAGTCTACCAGAGAGATAGACTACACCAAATTAGGGATTAGGACATGATGAGATCTAAACACCTAAAACAGGAATCCCCAGGAAGGGATGATGGTAGAGGAGCAATTCACAGGGACAGATATAGTCAGCCAACGGAGCAATCCTTCCACCTCAGAGCAGGTCACAGGAAATGGAGAATTTTTAAAATAATTAAAATGCCGTCTACTTAACGTGTTTGGACACATTGTGCATATTGGAGATTACAAAATTAGGTGACAGTTTAAGGCTGAAATATAGGAAACAAAGCAAACAAAAAGGTAATTATTAACTCCATGAAAAACAAATAAGATACAGGAAACTAATCACGGCTCAACTTTTACACTGTTTAATAATGTAAACACTGAAAACAGTTATAACTAAAATTAATAAGAGTAGGATGATGGGTAAAGCTGTATGGGTGGGTGTGGAGAATGGTGAAAAAGCTAAATCTCTACTGTAGGAAATCAATGAATATTAACTAAAACTAGAATTTGAAAATAAGTAGTAAATGCTAAAAGAATTAACTAACAAATGTTGAATGCAGTCGTCTTTGGGAATCTGAGAAAGGGAAGGGGAGCTGGGAATTTCTGTGTTTTTTGTTTATTTGTTTTTAATAAGAAGTGCTTTTTTTCTCTAATTATTTGTATATAGGAGTCTCAAAACCAAACAAAACTCACTGTCCTCAAGTTGATCCTGATCCATAGCAACCCCTCCTTAGCTTTCTGAGGCAGTATCTCTATGGAAGTAGACTGCTTGATCTTCTTTCTGAGGAGTGGCTGGTGGGTTTGAACTGCCAGACTTCTGGTTAGCAGTCAAATGCCTTAGGCACTAGGCTCTGGTGGCATGGTGCCTAAGGCATTTAGCTGCCAACCAGAAGGTCCTTCTGTAAAAGGAAGTTGGGGCAATCTATTTCTATAAAGATTTACCAACTTGGAAACCCAAAGGGAGTTGCTATGAGTTGGAATCAACTCGATGGCAATGAGTTTTTTTTTGGTTTGTGGGTGCCACAAATGGTTAAGCTCTTGGCTACCAATTGAAAGGTTGGTGGTTTGAATCTACCCAGAGGCCATCTGAAATACCATACCCATTGAGAGCCCTATGTGAAGTCCTACTCTGAAACACATGGGGTCACCATGAGTTGGAATCACTGGACAGCAACTGGTGGTGATGTGCATGTATGCTGTTGCTGTTATGTGCCGTGGAGTCGGACCCGACTCATAGCAACCCCTCCTTTGGGGTTCTGAGGCAGTATCACTACAGAAGTAGATTGCCCAGCCTTCCTTATGAAGAGTGTCTGCGGGTTTGAACCGCCAGCCTTCTGGTTAGCAGTCAAGTGCCTTAGGCACTATGCTACCAGAGCTTTGATAAAAATAAAAACTAAATCAAAAAGTCCCACTGTACTAAACTAGTAGATGAAAAATTTAACAATGTGTATCAAAATTCTAAATGTGCACACTCTTTGACCTAGCAATCCCACTTCTGGGAACTGACTAAGAAAACAATTCTACAAGGGATAAAGACTGTAGAACTAGGATATTCACTGAACATTATTTATGTTACTGACAAATAAGAAACCATCAAACTTGGATAACAGACTAAGTAAAACATATATCCTGAATATTACACAACTTTAAAAGAAAGGGTTATAATCTCTATTTTCTAGAGTGGAAAGATACCAACATTCTGTCCAGAAGGGGAAAAAGAATTACAGAACAGCAGTGTAATCTCATTTTATACAAAAATTTCCGTTTGATGGAACTTCTGCTCTTATCCTGTAGCATGGCCACATGATTCACACACTGAAAATAAAAACCAGCTTTTTTACCAAAATGATAAAGCTTCTATTAAAAAAGTATTTTAAAATAAATACAAAACAGGCAGAGGAAAAAAAAAAGTACACTAATCCCACCACTTCTTAATTATATAGGAAATAAAAAGTCAGTATGTTCCCATGTGACACCATCCCACTCCTATTTCCCAGTTAACAACTATCATTTTTTCAACCTACTTATACAGACACATATATATCCATATAAATAATTTTTATTAAATAAAAGTGGGATGACGTCATTTTTTTTCACTTTTCACTACACGAAACACATGCTTTCATCACTTCATTCCAACTGATATATGAAGATTTAAACATTCCCCTATTAATGGGTATTTAGAGTTTTTACTACTGCTACAAACAATGCTGTGATGAACGTGAACCCATTCCCTTACAAGATTCCCAACAGGAACTCAATCAAAAGGTATGAAGTGAAAAAAAAAAAAAAATTTAATTAAATATTGAATAGATTCAAAGATATGTTTTAAACTTACGTGAGGCAAAAACGTAACAGCACAATGATTATCGTATATCCACTACCCAGTAGAATCATCACTATCTTTGACACTTCCTAAATGCCTCTCCCTAAGGAGCTCTGGTTGTGTAGTGCCTACAGCATTTGACTGCTAAGCAGAAAGCTGGCAGTTCAAACTCACCAGCCACTCCTCAAGAGGAAGATCGGGCAATCTACTTCTGAAGAGGTACAGCCTCAGAAACCAAAGAGGGGGTCGCTATAAGTCAGAATCGACTCAATACCAAATGCCTCTCTCTGATCTGATGGCAGAGACATTATGAGAGTTCTCATTCAATCTTTTAAATTTTACTTCCTTTTTGATAAAAGCAATTACTATCTCACTATTGCTTTATTTTGAATTGCTTTAATCATTATGAAATTTAGCATCTTGTCATAAATTTCTTGGCTATTTGTTTTTCTTTTTCTATAAATTGCTAACTCACTTCCTTTGCCCATTCTTCTACTACGTTCATTAGGATATTTTGCTTTCTGATTCATAGAAATCCTTTGCTTATTAAGTATACTAACTCCTTTATCTTATTCATGTTGCAAATAGTGCCATATCTTTTACCATGCAGTTTCACACTTTAATCCATTTTCTTTCTGGCTTCTAGGTGAGCAAGGTCTTCCATATTCCAAGTTTAGATGGATATCTTCTGATATATTCTTAGAATTTTTTTAGGTTTTTAATCAAAGTACAATTCAATTTAGTATATGGTGAGAGATGGGACTCTATTTCCTTCCAAACAGATAGCCAATTATCCCAATAACATGTATTGAATAATTCTACCTTTCTTCATTGATGTAAAGACTTTACTATGTATCTCATCCAGTGCCCTAAGTTATGCTATCACAACAAAGCTCTTTCAAACAAAACAAAATCACTCACCTGGCCTTCTTCATCAAAAGCCATGACCACCACAGCAGCTCCAAACTTCTTAATCTTTCTGGCCTTTTCCAAAAAGTCATCCTCCCCTTCCTTCAGACTAATGCTATTGACGATGCACTTCCCTTGGCAGCACTTTAACCCAGATTCAATGACAGCAAAGTTGGAAGAGTCAATGCACAATGGCACCTGAGATCAGAAAGGCAACAAAATCACTGGAAGGCCACAGTCACCACAAGTTCCCTTCCAAGGGCTCCTAATTATTCCCTATTTCTTCATTAGGAAACAATAAACAAATAGGGTGGCAGAGATACAGTTTAAATACACTTGTTAAGAACAACCCTGCACCTGAAAGGTTGGTAGTTTGAATCCACCAGCTGCTCTGCAGGAGAAAGATGAGACAGTCTGCTTCTGTGAAGATTTGCAGCCTTGGAAATCCTATGGGCAGTCCCACTCTGTCCTACTACAGGGTTGCTATGCATTTGAATTCAACTGGACAGCAATGACTCTGTTCTTAAAGCCAGAAATGGGCAGGAGCCCAAAATACTTGGAGTAATTCATCTTACCAGCAGCCCCATGTATGGGATAAGAATTTATAGCTCAGAGATGATAGCTAAATATCAGAATAGAATCAATCAAGATAGTTAACTGGTTTTAGTAGTAGTTTACCCTTTTTAACTGCCTAAACCCTGAGGCAAACACCTTAAAGAGGATTCAGGTATTCCTGATCTGACTCTGGGATTAATGCTTAGCCTCATGCCCTTTGGGAACTGCCCTCCAGCCAAGTTATTCAAATTTAATCTTTATATATATATATATACACACACATACATACATACATATACATATATATGAGCTTTACTATTAGAATGGAAAAGTAGATTGATATTCAACAAATGTCTGTAACTAAAATAAAGGACAAAATTGAAGCATGCAGATGAAAAGTTCCCTTTTGAATACTCTTCATTCAAGCCTGCTACAAGAAAGGTGAAAGACAAGCCTTAAAGGAAAGATTAGATTGGTACAGAGAAATGAAATAACCCCCGATACAGCCCCCATTCTTTAACTGAGTCATTCAATAAGTAAGTAAGTACCTACCATGTCTTAGGTTCCACACTAGATACTGGGGGCAATGGTAGGCAAAAAGGTGCTTTCACTGAGCTTATAAATATTTAAACAAGTAATGACATAAAATGTGGTAAGTGCTAGAGCACAATAAGAGGCACAGATTGCCATGAAAACATATTTCAGGGGCACCAAACTCAGCTGATGCACCTCATCATCTGTCGGTGGCGGAGATAGCATGTTGCCATGATACTGAAGAGGTTTCAGCAGAGCTTCCAGACCAAAATGGACAATGAAAAAAGGCCTAGAGGTCTACTTCCAAAAATCAATGAAAACCCTATGGATCACAACAGCCCAATCCGCAAATGATCACGGTGATGGCACACTACTCAGCAGTGTTTCTGCCAGCTGTGCATCATGAGTCACAGGCCAACTAGATAGCACCTAACAACAAAACCCAGTGCATGCACAAAGGAATATTGTGCAACACTAAAGAATAACAGAATTTGCGAAACTTGGAGGACATTATACTGAGTGAAATAAGTCAAACGCAGAAGGACAAACACTGTATTAGATCATTATTGTAAAAAGTCAAGGAACAGTTTACATATGGAAGGAAACTTTCTTTGTTGGTTACCAGGGATGGGAGGGAAAGGGAAGGAAAACTGCTAGATAGTAAGAAACAAGTATTGATTTGGGTGAAGGGAAAGGCAGTATAGCAATAGCGACCAACCAACACAATTAACACTAAGGAAAGGGAAGACACAGAGAGGTGCAAAAGAAGTACAGACAACAAAGATAAACACTTTTACATACATAATACTGCATTTTATCAGTAATAACAAACACTAGTCTATGGGGGATACACAAGTTAAAAAAAGACCCAAACTCACTGCCACTGAGTCGGATCCAACCCACAGAGACCCCTCCTTTGGTTTCCGAGGCAGTATCTCTATGGATACTGCCTTCCAGTCTTCTTTCCGGGGAGTGGCTGGTAGGTTTGAACTGCCAACCTTCTGGATAGCAGTCAAATACCTTAGGCACTATGCCACCAGAGCTCCCAGATACAGGTATGACAGGCTAAATTATCAGGTATGTCTAGGCAAAAGGGAATATACCCATCACCATATATGTTTGGTAGATGGTATTTATACATATGTATTTGCATGTGCTCTAAGAATGTCCATATATATAATAGAGCTAATGGAACAAAATTATGATAACTTCTTAGCCACAGTGAAACATCCTGAGGGAGAAGTCACTGAGTCCACAGGCTTGAGACCATGATCACAGGGGAAATCAAGCTCAATTGGCATAACATACTACACAAAAACACCATTCTCCACTATACTTTGGCGAGTAGTGAAAGGGATCTTAAAAGCTTGTAAGTGGCCATCTAAGATGCAACAATTGGTCTCTCCTGGTCTGGGGCGAAGGATGAAGAAAACCAAAAATGCATGGAAACAATCAGTCCAAGGAACTAGTGGCCCATATAAACCTCAATCTACATGACCCTGAGACCAGAAGAACTAGATGGTGCCTAGCTACCACTGTTAACCACTTAGAAAGGGATCAAAATAGGAGATCCTCAATAGAGTGGGAGAAAATATAGAATAAAACCAAAATCATAAAATTAAGACCAGGCTTATTGCTCTGATAAGAGACTGGTAAAAGCCCCAAAATGATGGCCACTAATTACCCTTTCGGTCTGGAATTGAACTCGCTCCCATGGCTTCCAGCTAAACAACAGACAGGTGTATAAGGTGAATATTTACACCAGGTAGGTACACTCCTTAGAACAATCAACCATGGGAGATCAGAAAAGCAGTATTTTCACAGGGAGATAGCGCAGAGGCAGAAATGGATAGGAAAGAAGGACATAGGGAAAAGGTAACCACAGGGAAGAAGTGGGAAGAGAGCTGTTATATTATGAGGATTGTAATCAATGTCATGAAACAAAATGTGTATGATCTGTTGTCTGGAAAATAAATTTGCTCTGTGAACTTTCACCCAAATTACAATTAAAATATTAATAATAATAAACCAGTATGGAAGTAGAAGGGTGGAGGGAGAGAAAGTTTCCCAGGGCAAGAGGTATTTCAACTGATGACCATTCCTTGAACTTTCCATCTCTTAGGCCTTCAGCCACACCTCCAAAGGACAACAGAGAAAACAAGAAGGATCGGTGTTTGTTTTTTTTTTTTAATCATTAGGCTAATAATGAGAAGTTTGCTAAGAACAGGGTCAAATGTAATGAAAATATCACACCAACACTTGAGACTTTGCTGACAATTTGTTGTCCCAATTATGGTAAGACCACATATGTCACGTTCTACCCAAGTTGGTCGATATCTGGTTTCTGTTAAATTTTGATTGTAGGTCAAAACCAGGAAAGATAAGAACCATATATATTAGCAATCAGAGCACCAAGCAATAGTATCTTATAACTACTTAAGATCCTTTCACAGTGCCCTTTCATTTACAAATTATTCATTTATCTTTAAAATTCACAAAATCAGGCAAAGCAAACATGATTATTCCCATTTTAGAGATGAGAATGGAAACTGAGAGTCAACAGTTAACTAACTTGCCTGGAACAGTAACTCAATTCTTCTACTTCCCAGCTGGCCCTTTTACCCTATGTCAGCAGAAATAAACAACTAGATCCACCTTTCATACCATCTGACTTTAAACAACTCACTTCTTTGCACCTTCATGTCTCAAAATACTTACTTGCAAAGAAGCAATGAGTTTTTCTAGTAATATGCTTTAAAACACGGATGAAGAATGGGTTAATATAACTCAGAGTGTACCACAGACTTCTAAATTAAGCAACTGCTAACATGTAATTGGGAGCTCTGGTAGCATAGTGACTAAGACACTTGCCTGCTAACCAGACGGCTGGCGGTTCAAACCCACCAGTCACTCCTCGGAAGGAAGGTTGGGCAATCCTACTTCCGTAGTGATGCTGCCTCGGAAACCCAAGGAGGGGTCGCTATGAGTTGGGCTTGATTCGATGGCACATAACAACAAACAACAACAATGTGTAATTAAAAAAACTCAAAGTTCTACCTAAAAAATGAAACTCTTAAAGTGCTAGAAAGTGTTTTCGAAAACAGAAGAAAAACTTCAAAAATAACTTCTCATCGCACAATTAACAGCAGAGAAATTATGTGAGATTTTTAAAATGTTTAGGACTCATCTAAAAATTTAAATAGGACTAAGATAAAAATAGAAGAAAGACCTGGCAATCTACTTCTGAAAAATCGGCCAATGAAAACCCTACAGATCAGAGTTCTGACAACATGGTGGGATATACAGACAAGCTACACAGACCCTCTACAACAAAAGCCATGAGAAACAAATTGAAACTGATACAGAAGATGATCCTGGAACCCTGAGCTTTGAATGCAAAGATAAAGTAGTAGATTAAATATCAGCTATCAGAAGAACCTGAATGAAACTGCGAGTAAGGAAACAAACGGAGCTGCAGACTGCCAGCTGTCCTGAGGGCAAAGTCATTTTGAATATTTCCTGATAGCAACCTAAGAATATTCTCTGCTCACCCAGGCCACAGGGGCAAGGAATACATTGGTGACTGACGACCAGAAGGCAGAACAGCGAGGAAGGAGACAGGGGACCTCTGAACTGCTGGTGGCTGTTCTGAGGGTGCAGCAATTTTAGATGTTTGTAAGTGGCTGGCGTAGGCATTGGGAGTATGGGAAGGTGGTGTGCTTGCTTGGACTCTTCCCTCAGGGTGGGCTCTGCCTACAGAGCACAGCAAGGGCAACCACAGTGGAAACAAACGACTGGAAAAGTGTGATATCCCCTTGTTACTCTTGTGCCACATGCCCTCTTGGTCAACAGGGGTATGGGCATCCCCCGCCACCCACCCCACCTCCACCCATCTTCTTGACCTGTGCGGGTTCTATCCCAGTCTGTTTGTTCCTTCTTCCTTTTTTTCACTTCTTCCTGTCCTGTGTTCTTTTGTTTTGTTTTTCCTTTTTACGCTTCCCTTTTCCTGATCCCCTTCTTTCTTCTTTTTTTGGTTCTTCCCATACCTTTTCTTTTTGCATTTTTCCCTGTTCTTTTATAATTGTTCTTTGATCTCATTTCTCCTTTGC